GACTGAGTGTGTGAGCCATTTAAGCAGAAACAGGGGTCATGTTGGAACTCAGATGCTGGCTGTGGCTGCTGAGGCTGCAGCCAGTTCAGGCCTCCCACCCACTCCCTACAGTCCAGCCCTGAGACCTCATGATTGGAATCATGTCTACAGGAAGGCTGTTTGTCCACCTACCCATTTATGGGCAGGAGTGCCGAAACACTTCAGGGACCCCTGGAGCAGAAGCTACCTCTTTCTAGACTGCTTAGAGAAGCCCAGAGTACGGGCTCACAGGCAAGTTCCAGGGAGAGAACAAGAACAGGCAGGGCTGTGCACACCCAGCACCTTTGCTCAGTCTCACCAATCAGAGAAATTGTACCTCATTCCATGGGGAAGAGGGTGAGGGCAGGGAAGAAGATCAGGTGGGAATTGCCAGGCCTTCCAATGCCAGAAAGTCCTCCCCAACAGGTCAAGATAGGAATGCTATGGGATGAGAAAGTGTTTCCATCTGCATCATCTACCACGAGATAGTAGTTGTTCCTACAGCCTCTCTTACCAAGTTTCAGATCCATTCCCTGCCCCTGTACTGTTGTTGGATCAGAGGACACATAGCATTCACATGACGATCCAGTGGGGCAGTAATGTGCTTTGATCTTGTCAAGACATTAGACCAAGTCTTTCGAGACACCCTCATGGTGGTTATGACAAAACAGGTGGTGGGTATACAGCTGTACTGTGGGCACCACTCACCTTAGGTAACAGCATGGAAGGAAGGTGTGGCCAAACAAAAGACCACCTGCTGTATCTTTATACAGATGAGTTGAGCCTAAATGTAGCCTCAACTAATACGTATAGTTAGTGCACATTGTGTAGCTAATTGGAAAACCCTGCTCATTGGAGCACTGTCAGTGTGAGCAAGCAGGACATGTGCTCCCCTGTTATTACAGTTCATCCTTCTGGTTTTAGTTCATTTTTGTCTGTGAGGATTATTTGGATTTTTAGTTTATCATCTAATTGATCAACACTAATATCTAACAGCTATTGAGTACTTTATGCCATTTCTAAAAAGAACATCTTGGGGTCTTGGTGACCCCAAACTCAGACTTAGCACCATGGCAACACAGGAAGTGAAGGAGAGCTGTAAGAAGGTTCTGTGGCAACCGATCCAAGATGGCCGCCAGGAGCTCAGGATTGCAGCTCCCAGTGAAAGCGCAGAGGGTGAGTGGACGCCGCGTTTTTATTGCCCACAGACCAGGAAATTCCCGGACGGAGGAGCTCCACGGTCGCCAGCACAGCTGTTTCGGCCAGCGCGGCTGTGCTGGCCGGCGCCGCTGCTTTGCCCCGCGCGGCTGCTTTGTCGGCACCCCGGAGCTGCGGTTCTCCATACAAAATACACCAGTCCGGGTGCCCTTTTGGCTGGCGATCAGAGCCACGGGAAGTCGCCCATTCACCGGTTCAAAAAGGGGACTGAGCAGAGAACCAGGACAGTAGATTCCAGGGCAAAAAAAAAAAAAAAAAAAAAAAAGCGCCACAAACCTCAGTGCCGCTGTTTAAGCCAGCGCAGTGAGTGGCCGCAGGGGAAAACAAACAGACCCCGGTGCCTCTTCAACAGGCGACTGGAACACCAACTTAAAAAAAGGCTCTGAGGCAGGGAGCCAGGCGATCAGGCTCGGCTGGTCCCACCCCCACAAAAGAACAGCAACCAGAAACTCTGGATTGAGAGTTTCACAGCAAGTGCAGCTGAACCCGGGACGGGCCAGCTCTGTGGGGGAGGGGCGTCCGCCATTACCGAGGCAGCCCGCCGTTGCCAAGGCAACCCGCCATTGCTGAGGCAGCCCGCCATTGCCAAGGCAACCCGCCACAGCAAAGAGACTCCGCCTCAACAGAGGCGGGCCACCATCACCAAAGCAGTTCTAACTACACCCATATAAACAGGACTGCAGGGAAGTTCACTCGGCAGCGGGGTGGAGCCCACAGCAGCTCAGCAAAGCTGCTATAGGCCGACAGTGACTAGGCTGCCTCCTTGCTTGGCTGGGCAGGTCTGAAGGAAAAAAAAAAAAAAAAAAGAAGGCGGCAGCATAACGGAAACTCATAAATAAAGCCCTAAATCCCTGGGACAGAGCACCTGGGAACAAAAAGCAGTTTATGAGTTCTGCTGCAGCAGACCTAAAAGTACCTGCCCAGCAGCTCTGAATGAACAACAACAGAGCTCGCAGCTCACCATTTGAGCTCCTATAAAGAAGAGACCGTCTCCTTAAGCAGCTCCCTGACCCCTATATATCCAAAAAGACACCTCATAAAAGAGAGATCAGATTGACACTAGGCGGGTATCCGTCTGGGACAAAGATAGCAGAAGAAGAAAACTGGTAACAACCCTTGCTGTTCAGCAGCTGCTGCAGGTGAATCCCAGGCAAGCAGGGCCTGGAGTGAACCTCAGCAGACCTACAGCAGAGGGGCCAGACTGTCAGAAGGAAAACCAAGAAACAGAAATAACCTCATCATCAACAAACAGAACATCAATCTGAAAGACTGGAGACCCAATCTGAAAGCCAGCAACTACAAAGTCGACAGGTGGATAAATCCTTAAAGATGGGAAGAAACCAGTGCAAAAAGGATGAAAACACCCGAAACCAGAACACCTCTCCTCCTAAAAGGGATCACAACTCCTCACCAGCAAGGGAACAAGGTTGGATGGAGAACAAGTGTGATGAAATGACAGAATCAGACTTCAGAAGGTGGGTAGTAAGAAACTTCTGTGAACTTAAAGAACATGTTGTAACCAAATGCAAAGAAACTAAGAACCTTGAAAAAAGATTTGACGAAATGCTAATGAGAATGGACAAAATAGAAAGGAATATAAGTGAATTGATGGAGCTGAAAAACGCAATACGAGAACTTCGTGAAGCATGCACAAGTATCAACAGCCGAATTGACCAAGCAGAAGAAAGGATATCAGAGGTCGAAGATCAACTCAATGAACTAAAACGGGAAGGCAAGACTGGATAAAAAAGGGTAAAAAGGAATGAACAAAGTCTCCAAGAAATGTGGGAGTATGTGAAAAGACCTAATCTACGTTTGATAGGCGTACCTGAATGCGACGAAGAGAATGAATCCTAGCTGGAAAATACTCTTCAGGATATTATCCAGGAAAACTTCCCCAACCTAGCAAGGCAGGCAAACATTCAAGTCCAGGAAATACAGAGAATACCACAAAGATATTCATCAAGAAGAGCAACCCCAAGGCACATAATCGTCAGATTCACCAGAGTCGAAATGAAGGAGAAAATACTAAGGGCAGCCAGAGAGAAAGGTCGGGTTACCCACAAAGGGAAGCCCATCAGACTCACAGCAGATCTCTCAGCAGAAACCCTACAAGCCAGAAGAGAGTGGGGGCCAATATTCAACATCCTTAAAGAAAAGAACTTGCAACCCAGAATCTCCTATCTAGCCAAACTAAGCTTCATAAGTGAAGGAAAAACAAAATCCTTTGGGAACATGCAAGTACTCAGAGATTTCGTCACCACCAGGCCAGCTCTACAAGAGCTCCTGAAAGAGGCTCTACACATATAAGGAACAACAAGTACCAGCTCAACTAAAGGGCAAAACACCCAGCTAGCACCAAAATGGCAGTATCAAATTCACACATAACAATATTAACCCTAAATGTAAATGGACTAAATGCCCCAATCAAAAGACACAGACTGGCAAATTGGATAAAAAGACAAAACCCATCGGTGTGCTGTATCCAGGAAACCCATCTCACATGCAAGGATACACAAAGGCTCAAAATAAAGGGATGGAGGAAGATTTACCAAGCAAATGGAGAGCAAAAAAAAGCAGGAATTGCAATTCTCATCTCTGATAAAATAGACTTTAAAGCAACAAAGATCATAAAAGACAAAGAGGGACATTACATAATGGTAAAAGGATCAATGCAACAAGAAGAGCTAACGATCCTAAATATATATGCACCCAATACAGGAGCACCCAGATACATAAGGCAAGTTCTTAATGACTTACAAAGAGACTTAGACTCCCACACAATAATAGTGGGAGACTTTAACACCCCATTGTCAACATTAGACAGATCAACCAGACAGAAAATTAACAAGGATATCCAGGACTTGAACTCAGACCTGGACCAAGCAAACCTAATAGACATTTACAGAACTCTCCACCCCAAATCCACAGAATATACATTCTTCTCAGCAACACATCACACCTACTCTAAAATTGACCACATAATTGGGAGTAAATCACTCCTCAGCAAATGCAAAAGAACGGAAATCATAACAAACAGTCTCTCAGATCACAGTGCAATCAAGTTAGAACTCAGAATTCAAAAACTAACTCAGAACCGCACAGCTTCATGGAAACTGAACAACTTGCTCTTGAATGTTGACTGGATAAACAATGAAATGAAGACAGAAATAAAGATGTTCTTTGAAACCAACGAGAATGAAGACACAACATACCAGAATCTCTGGGACACATTTAAAGCAGTCTCTAGAGGAAAATATATAGCAATAAGTGCCCACATGAGAAGCAAGGAGAGATCAAAAATTGACACCCTATCGTCAAAACTGAAAGAGCTAGAGGAGCAAGATCAAAAAAACTCAAAGTCTAGCAGAAGACAAGAAATAGCTAAGATCAGAGCAGAACTGAAGGAGATAGAGACACAAAAAACCCTTCAAAAAATCAATAAATCCAGGAGCTGGTTTTTTGAAAAGATCAACAAAATAGACAGACCACTAGCCAGATTAATAAAAAAGAAAAGAGAGAATAACCAAATTGATGCAATAAAAAACGATCAAGGGGATATCACCACAGATTCCACAGAAATTCAAACCATCATCAGAGATTATTACAAACAACTCTATGCACACAAACTAATAAACCTGGAAGAAATGGATAAATTCCTGGACACTTGCCTCCTGCCAAGCCTAAACCAGGAAGAAGCCGAAACCCTGAACAGACCCATAACAAGGTCTGAAGTTGAGGCAGCAATTAAGAGCTTACCACCCGGCGATCTCAGAGGAAGGTGGCTGTTGAGAGCGGCAATAATCCAGAATGGCTACTCTGATCTATGTTGATAAGGAAAATGGAGAAACAGGCACCCATGTGGCTGCTAAGGATGGGCTGAAGCTGGGGTCTGGACATTCAGTCAAAGCCTTAAATGGGAGATCTCAACTTTCAACACCACGTTTTGGCAAAACGTTTGATGCTCCACCAGCCTTACCTAAAGCTACTAGAAAGGCTTTGGGAACTGTTAACAGAGCTACAGAAAAGTCAGTAAAGACCAATGGACCCCTCAATCAAAAACAGCCAAGCTTTTCTGCCAAAAAGATGACTGGGAAGACTGTTAAAGCAAAAAGCTCTGTTCCTGTCTCAGATGATGCCTATCCAGAAATAGAAAAAATTTTTCCCTTCAATCCTCTAGACTTTGAGAGTTTTGACCTGCCTGAAGAGCACCAGATTGCACACCTACCCTTGAGTGGAGTGCCTCTTATGATCCTTGACGAAGAGAGAGAACTTGAAAAGCTGTTTCAGCTGGGCCCTCCTTCACCTGTGAAGATGTCCTCTCCACCATGGGAATCCAATCTGTTGCAGTCTCCTTCAAGCATTCTGTCGACCCTGGATGTTGAATTGCCTCCTGTTTGCTGTGACATAGATATTTAAATTTCTTAGTGCTTTAGAGTTTATATTTGTATTAATAAAGCATGCTTTAACAGAAAAAAAAAAAAAAAAAGAGCTTACCACCCAAAAAAAGCCCAGGTCCAGATGGGTTCACAGCTGAATTCTACCAGACATACAAAGAGGAGCTGGTACCATTTCTTCTGAAACTATTCCAAACAATACAAAAAGAGGGAATTCTTCCCAAATCATTTTATGAGACCAACATCATCCTGATTCCAAAACCCGGCAGAGACTCAACAAGAAAAGAAAACTTCAGGCCAAAATCCATGATGAACATAGATGCAAAAATCTTCAATAAAATACTGACAAGCCGATTGCAACAGCACATCAAAAAGCTTATCCACCATGATCAAGTAGGCTTCATCCCGGGGATGCAAGGCTGGTTCAACATACACAAGTCTATAAACGTAATTCACCACATAAACAGAACCAAAGACAAAAACCACATGATTATCTCAATTGATGCAGAGAAGGCCTTTGACAAAATTCAACAGCCCTTTATGCTAAAAACCCTCACTAAGCTAGGTATCGATGGAACGTATCTCAAAATATTAAAAGCTATTTATGACAAACCAACAGCCAATATCATACTGAATGAGCAAAAACTGGAAGCATTCCCCTTGAAATGTGGCACCAGACAAGGATGCCCTCTCTCACCACTACTATTCAATATAGTACTAGAAGTTCTAGCCAGAGCAATCAGGCAAGAAAAAGAAATAAAGGGCATTCAAATAGGAAAGGAGGAAGTCAAACTGTCTCTATTTGCAGACGACATGATTGTATATCTAGAAGACCCCATCGTCTCAGCCCCAAATCTCCTGAAACTGATAAGCAACTTCAGCAAAGTCTCAGGATACAAAATCAATGTGCAAAAATCACATGCATTCCTATACACCAATAACAGACTTAAAGACAGCCAAATCAAGAACAAACTTCCATTCACAATTGCCACAAAGAGAATAAAATACCTAGGAATACAACTAACAAGGAACGTAAAGGACCTCTTCAAGGAGAACTACAAGCCACTGCTCAACGAAATAAGAGAGGACACAAACAGATGGAGAAACATTCCATGTTCAGGGTTAGGAAGAATCAATATTGTGAAAATGGCCATACTGCCCAAAGTAATTTACAGATTCAATGCTATCCCCATCAAGCTACCAATGACCTTCTTTGCAGAACTGGAAAAAACCACCTTAAACTTCATATGGAACCAAAAGAGAGCCCGCATAGCCAAGTCAATTCTAAGCAAAAAGAACAAAGCGGGGGGCATCACACTACCAGACTTCAAACTATACTACAAGGCTACAGTAATCAAAACAGCATGGTACTGGTACCAAAACAGAGATATAGACCAATGGAACAGAACAGAGGTCTCGGAGGCAACACAACATATCTACAACCATCTGATCTTTGACAAACCAGACAAAAACAAGCAATGGGGAAAGGATTCCCTGTTCAATAAATGGTGTTGGGAAAGCTGGCTAGCCATGTGCAGAAAGCAGAAACTGGACCCCTTCCTGACACCTTACACTAAAATTAACT